AAGATACATATTCTTGATGGTAACCTTGTTCAATTGGAAATAATCTATACACATGAAGGGAACCATCTTTCTTCCTCACAAATGGGATTGGAGCGCCCCAAGGTGAGATACTTATTCGAATGAAACCTTTCTTTAAAAGATCTTTCAACTGCTCTTTTCACTCTTTCAACTCTGCTGGTGCCATGCTATATGGAGGAATAGAGATAAAGCGAGCATATAGAAGAATGTCTATGCCGAAGTCTATTTCTCTCTCAGGAGGGACTCCGGGTAGATCATCTAGAAAGACTTCTGGAAACTCTTTTACTATTGAAACTGACTGAATATGAGGTATCTCAACATTATAGTCATTAACTTGGATTAAGTGATAGACACACCCCTTAGAAACTAACTTTCTCACCTTAAGGTACGAAATAAAATGACCCTTAGGCACTACTGAACTGTTCGTCAACTCTATAACTGGTTCACTGGAAACTGAAACTTGACTACTCAAGTTCTACAATCTATTGATGCATAACAGGCATGAAGCCAGTCCATACCTAGAATGACATCAAAATCTACCATGTTTAACTCAACTAAATCAGCAATGGTACTCTTGTGATTGACGAAAATGGAACAATCACGATATACTCTCTCTGCAAGAATAGACTCACCAACAGGTGTAGAAACACTTAAGGGCTCAAGACGTTGCTCAGGAAGAACATCAAAACTGAAGACTTGGATCATACCAGTAACAACAACTGGCGAATCCTCTTACTCTCGGCGACTAGCGATAGCATAAAGACGGTTTCCTTCTCCATCTGCCCTTGAAGTAGCTCATCTAGATGCAGCTCTATCTGGTGGGGCAACTGAAGAAGACTGTGCTATATTGCCCCCATTACCATTACTTTGTCTGCTCTTAGGACACTCTCTCATAAAATGACCGTTCTGGCACTTGAAGCAACTAGTAGAGCTATCACGACACACCCCTGAGTGGCTCCTACCACACTTAGCACATCCAGGAGTCTTAGTACCCCCTTGTGCCTTACTACCTTGCGAATGCACAGGTCTAGCTCTGAAGTTCTGAGAATTCTAACTATTGTACTAACATTTGTTTCTTGGTGCAGGTGCACTAGCAGATGATGGAGCAGGTCCTTTCTGCTTATGTTGGAAAGAAGACCGGTTCGCATTACTCTTTTACTGCCTGAATTTATTCCTTGATGTCTTTGCTCTCTTGTTCTTAAACTCTTATCTATCCTTCAGCTTGTCCTCCCCAAATCGTTGCACATAAATCATTAGCCTTGCTATGCCCATGTAACCTATCAACATGGCTGCCTTACTTTCCTTACTTGACAGACGAGTCAACCCAACAACAAATAAACTCATCCTTCTCCTTATGTCAGCAACCATCTCTTTGCTTCTCTTAGCTCACAGGGAAAGAAACGCCTTATGAAATCACACTCAAAATAGTCCAACTCATAATCGGTTACGCGCATGCACGAGTTAGAAAGAAACTTGTTAGAGATAAAACTCTAACGCACGAAATGAGTATGAAAGAAGTGAAGG